AGTACTTTTTCCCCAAAAATATTCAATGCGAAACCCGTAGGGATGCCACTGTTTGAAAAAATACAAATTTGTGTACATCAGAAAATGCGCCTTGAGGCATGGAACATATGTACCAAATATGCCAAAGATGTCTACAAAATTATCTCAGTTATTATTAAAAAACTGATTATTTTTGAAAACTTTGCCACCCTGTATCTCAAAAGTTAAGGCGTTTAGGACATACATCCATAGGAAGTTTTTTTCTTAAAATGGGTCTAAGAATTACCTCCTTAAATATTAGCATGTGTTTAAGGAACACCCTGTATATGTGTCTTCATGAGGGGCAATGTTAAAAATGTTTCAGATAGATAGATAGAAACTCGAAGAACAGTGAATTCTTCTGACAGTTAGGAAATTAATTATTATATGCAAACCTATGTATAGCAATCAATTTTCAACAAAATACAATCAAGTAAACATATGCAAATTATATAAAATACAATAAAGACAAAACTATCTTCATAAAACTCGACAAGTGCATAATGAATTTTATCTAGCCATAAAGATTTCACCGTTTTCCTAAATTTTTATGTAAAGATATACTGGCAGGTAATTGCATATTTTTTGGCATAATATATAATAGATTTGTGGTTAGAGTACTTTTAGGTCTTATCAATGATATCATGTGGTTATCCTGTATTGTGTTATAGATTAGATGTGGAAACAATCTCGGTACCATATTTTGTGTACAATACATATATTTCTGAAATGTTATTGTTTAAAAACATCCAAATAACTTCTTGCATAAATTCAAAATTTGTACATCAAACAGAAAGGGGTATATTTTTAGAAGAGATTAATTTTTGGGAAGGAAATGTTTTGGCTTTCTACTTCTCCAACTTTATACAAAAATATGAAAGAAAGATTCCCACATTTTTATATGAAGATGGAGAAGAAGAAAGCCAAAGCCTTTCTTTCCCAAAAATGTTTTTTTTAATATTTTCATATTTTCACTTGATAGTGAAAAATTTGTTGTTACTAAAAGGACTTGTGATGCACAACACCAAAACATTATTTTAACACCTCGACACCAAGTGCTTATCTTCAAGATCACTTGGAGATCGAAACACGTGTCGAGGTGTTAAAATAACGGTTTGGTGTTGGGATAAAACTTGGTGATCGAAACACGTGTCAAGGTGTTAAAATAACTCTTTGGTGTTGGAATAAAACTCCAGAAATAATCGTTATTAAAGGAGTCATTACTTTTTAGAGCTTCCAAGTAATATCGATTTTGGGATTTTTCATTACTAAAATATTAAAAAAACCTGATATGATTTCCAGAACTCCCATGAAGTTTAGCAACATTCAACAGTAAACAAAAACGTCCCTTATCTGTGACATATCGTTCATAGCATCGTTAGTAATTGAGTTACCGAATTACAGAGCTCACTGTGACAGACTTCTATTTAGTGGAAATAGTAATATAACATACCGAGATGGGGTTCACCATAGACTTGAGCCTTAGCTTTATTAACTTGTTCCTTCTCTTTGGAAGCTGTGCTCCTCTGTACTTGCTGAAACATATTCAAAGCACTTGTGAATTCATCTTGTAATCTCTCTCTCTGCATTTTCCTCTGCCTTTGCTCGGACTGAGATAACGAAGGCTGAATTGTGCTGAGATCTTTGATGTATCCATTTGTATCTTTCACCAGCTGTTGAGTATAGTGTTGAATTGAATGCCTGGAATCAATAGTTATTAATAATTTAAAAAATCAAGACTGATCATAGAAATCAAGAACAATTACTTTATTCAAACGAGATGTACGTGGAGACCCTAAAATAGTTCAGAAAAACCACTAGTATTGTTTAAATAGAAATTATTAGAAAAGTAGAAATACAGACTTTTGCCGCCATCTTTTGGAACTTTTTTAAGTTTCGGGTTTTCAGGTCATCTTTTATTACAAATTTCATCCTGACGTTTCGCCAGTGCTAGTGACTGGTATCTCCAGAGGTCTGCGTTACTGCTTCCAAGGTTGAAGATACACTGGCGCTCTCATAGATTTAGGCTATATTTATGAGTGGCTATGGAGGGAGTAGCACCCCTAAGGATATATTTGAGAGTGGCCGGATAGGAAGAGAGGGGCACCTACGTGGTGGTTGCTCAGCTGGTGCGATCTACTGAATTGGTTCAGTTTGCTCAGATATTCCTGCTATACTGGTGTTTTTGTAAAGCTGGTATGCCAATATTGTTGATCTTTGTCGTTTCTTCCTTCCAGATGAAACTGTCATGTTTGTAGATTTCACTTGCCTCTTAAGTTAACCGGTTGTGAAGTCCGGCAGGTAGATAAGAAGTGGAGGGGTCCTTGAAGTTTGTTCTGTGCTCTCCAGTATTTCGTACATGCTCTGCTACACAGATTTTTCTTGTCTGCAGTATCTTTTATTATCTGCAGACTTTAGCACAACCATGCTTTCAATCAGAAAAAAGATTGAGGAACACAAAAAAGTGCAGACTAGGACAGCTGTGACAGAGCATGAACTAAGCACAGGATATGCTTCAAGAACCTCAACTTCTCGAGCACAAATAAATCTTTTACAACTGGTTAGTTCAACGAAGCAACAATTTCAACCGAAAAAAAACAATGAAAGAAAGAAAGAAATTTTACTGACCTCAAATTACAATTTCTGTTACATTCGATACTATCTGCAATAACAAAATTTGCTTAGGTACGTCATACTAAAAATATAAAAAATATACATAGAGTACATAAAAAAAATCACAATACAATATTAATGACTCACAATATAAATACACATATATACACACATACCCACATATACACACACATATAGGTACATATACAGCGTGACTCACGGTCGATGGTAGGTTAGACGTTTCTTGGAAATGCAAAGCATGATTTTTCTGAAAATTTCACCTCTCACATTTTCTATCGATCTAAAATATTTTCAGCATTGCGGCGTTACCACTTCCATCAAAAAGTCTTAGCAACTTTATTTTTTTAAGTAGAACACCCCGTATATTAATACATTTTTGGAATCGCTCTGGTATTTTAATCCTTTTTTGTTAATAATGTCCTATACCTATCTCTATCTGTTTTCGAGATAAAAAATAAATTATGCTAAATATGGTCCAAAACATAGCCTTAATTGAAATTAAGTACATCAGTACTCTCAATTCATGAAAAGTTGATATTTTGATGATAGTTTGGACAAACTCGAAATATTCAAATAACACCAAGAAATCGACTTCATACACTACTATTATTTCCATAGTTTTTAAATGGCTACTATACTTCGTTATAGTCTTCTCATTGTTTTTTGTCTTTCAGTCTATTTTATGTCATTTGCATATTGTTATATGTTTAGTTAATTGTACTTTGTTGTTATACGTAGCTTCAAATATAATAATCAATCTTCCTAACTTCAGCAGCAAGAATGTACTGTTCTTTAGACATTAAAATTCTCATATTTTTTATCTCTAACAGTCTTCTGAAGATGTCAGACACTCACGCCAACAGACAACAGCCTAAAGACCCGAAACCACAGTTTCATAGAAATGTTTTCCATCAGAACGTCAGAGAACTAAATACAAAAATTATTCATTTCAGAATCTGAAAAAAATTTTTCAGGAATTCAGGAACCAATGAAGTTGATTGTGGTGGTCGGGTTTTGATAGGCATCAGACATGATTGACTCCTCGATCTAAATTGGTCACAAAATTAATCACTGTGGTATTCTCTTAAAAATTAGTTTTTTCATCTTTCAACAACCCTTTGTGAAAGTTAATAAAAATCCAAGTTTTTAACAATACAAAGTACGTTACTTTTGAATGAATTTTCAGCTCTGTACATTTATAGTATTTGTATTCTTAATCGCATTTATAGTTTTATTTATTCATTTATTCACGGGTTCAAAACCCATTCCACTCAATACAATAAAAAAATACAAAATTAATGAAATATAATCAGTATATAATAAAAATATTATAGAATAAAACTCTAGTGTTTGAAAAAGTTATTGCCCAAAATTTCAACTGAAAATGATGTTATCCTCAGCTTCAATATAATAAATTGCAAGTATGAGCTTTCCAAACCATTTTAAACCTTATTTATTATTTCTTTTACAAAAAAAAAAAACAGTGAAAAATTTGTCTATATTCCCTACAGAATCCAAATATTCCAATAGAAACAAATTTAATTATCGAAAAAATCCAATTCAACTTGAATTTTGAAAAAAAAACTGTTGTTATGCACAAAAGTTAATGTGAATTTCCAGAAAGGAAACTCAATAACTGCAGAACAGTTCAATATAGAAAAAATGCAGGTCACTACGTACAAGTTGAAGAGCTTGAAAGTCTCAAAATAGTTAGTTTTTCACGTGCAACAAGACTACCAATTACGATTTTTTTTTCAATTGTAGATATACTTTGAACTTAAAACCCCAATCCATCATTAAAAATAAATTGAATTCAAACAGCTAAAGCTATAATTGAATACAAATGATGTGAATACTTCCACCACACATCAAGGTTGATTTTTGAGGATTTCACAAATCCTCCAGACTTCCAAATCCGGCTCTGCAATTGGCTATATGAAAAATTTCAATATTTCAACTTCTTTTAAAATTATTTGATTGACAATATTGTTCGAAAAAATGCCAGATAAATTGATTTTCTATTTTCCGATGTCCCTTAATGATTACTGAAAATTTTAAATCAATATCTTATTTCTTTCAATGCTTATCCATCACTAAAAAGTGTAAGATCGTTAGACAAATAACAGAATTTTTACAAAAATGTTCATTTTCGATGTTGATCAGGGTTCTATTTCTTCAAATAAAAAAATATGGGGTCCATATGATATGCATATGGTTTTGGCTTTCTACTTCTCCATGTTTATACAATGTGTAATTTAATATTTATATGAAAGAAGTTATTTTGAGAGGGTTTTCTCTTCCAGTTTGAATCTGGAAGTAACTTCTATACATAATCTACAGATCTGTGTAGAGAGTTTATTTTGAAATTAATTGTTTTCTTCCTACCTTTGAAAGTTTTCCACATTTTTTGTATGAAGAAGAAGCCGAAACCTTCTCAAAACTTATCTCTCCTGAAAATATCCCCCTTTCAATTTGAACAAGATTCCTATGGCTGGAATTAAATCAAATGAGAGTATGCATGTCATTACGTAGTGTCATCATGACATAAGTATATTAATGTTATTCGTGACATAAAGTGGTAATTTTATGAATGAATTGAGTGTTTCCTCTTGTAATGTTATCCAGAATGGTGCTAGAGGCAATAAGACAGGTGTCTTATTACGAAACATTGATGTTCGCCAGTGGGATGACGGTATTCCAGGTTTGTGAAATTTTATCTATTATATAGTGTAGTATTCCCTGAATGATATGTACAATTTCATAACAAGTATTTGGCAGCACAAGAGTTGACATGATTCCTTCTAGAGAGCCAACTTATGAAATTGGGCCTCTTAAACAACCCGATGTAACATTCACGACTTCTAATAAATAAAGGTTAGAGCTTCTGATAGAAAACCACTTTCCTGGAAGTCTGACCCTTGATAACAATAGACCATTCCTCTTTGAGAGTGCCAAACGCCAGAGGCTACCCTCAAGGAGGGGTACTATCTCCCCTTCTGTGATCGCTCCTGATGGATAGTCTGTTTGATGCCTTCGACAAAAGAAAAGTAGATCTGCAAGCTTATGCAGATGACTTTGTCATCTTGGCAAGGTCCACGTCAGGAAGGGTAGCTTGTAATATCCTCCAAAGTATGATGGACGTTGTTCACAGTTGGTGTCTGAGAGAGCAGATGTATGTCAAACCCAGCAAAACTGTGATAATCGCCTTCACAAAGAGGAGAAAATTGGACAATTTAACGTCCCTCAATGGCGAGGTTATTCCATTTGCAAGGGAGGTGAAATATCTTGGCATTGTCCTTGATAAAAAACTCACCTGGAACGCTCACTTGGAAAAAGTTTTACACAAAGCCAGACTGTTTCTATGGACATTTCGAAGGATTTGTGGTAAAACTTGGGGTTTAGGTGATCACTTATAGAGCAATTGCAATTGCCTGGTGGCCAAAGGCTTTATAGAAAACAGCTCAGGCGAGGCTCTCTGACTTACAGAGACAGGATTTTCTGGCCATCATCTGCGCCATCAGTACCACACCATCAGCAGCCATGGAGATTCTTCTAGATCTACCTCCTCTCCACATTTTCTGGAGAGGTTAGATCAGAGGTTCTAAAACTTATTTTGTCTACCGCCCTCTTCGAGAATTAATTATTTTCTAGCGCCCCAAAATTTTTTTTCTTTACTACATCTTAAGAATCACAATCGCAGTCATTATTGTAATAATCAAATTATGTGTATCATGTGGAAATAAGACTTTCTGATGAGGGTAATGTAAAACACAATTTTGTAATATTAGGAAAACTTTTATTTATGTTATAAAAACAAACATTCCAATTTGAATTTTAAAACTAATCTAATGTGAAGGATGAATTTGATGATTTTTAACAAGTTTGTTAATATCAGGCTCGAATTTACTCAAAAACAGCCGTAAGTCACCGCGTTCAGTAATCTGCAACCAATTTCTGTTTTTAATTGGCAACGTTCACACAAATACGATGATGGGAATGCTATCAAAAATCGTTGAACGATGGACCACAATCCAGAGTACAATTGCGGGTTTGGCTTTGGTAGCCAAAATTCTTGGTATCCATTTTTGAATTCTATTTTTATTTTCTCGTTTGTTATCAGTTCTATGAGTTATTTTTCCAGCTGGGGTGATCCTGCTGGGTTGATATTTGAAAAAGGATCCAACACCCAGTGCGGTATTTCCAATTTCAAAATGTCCTGGAATTGTTCTGCGAAATCACTGTGGAGGTTCTCCAAATGTTGGCAGTAAACAAACAAGTCGTCGTTTTTGAAGGATACTGCTGACAAATTAGGGAAATTGCGAAACTCACGTCTGACGATATTATTCTTTTATAAGAGCAATTAGTGTGAGGTTTACCTGTTTGAGCAATTAGCAATGAGATATTGTAAAAATCTCGGAGTCCGTCGTCTTGCTTAGAAGCCGCTGAAATAAGTTGTGACACAGTTGGCTGAGCGCGTTAAGCGTAAATGAGCGGTAAAGTTTGTGTTAAAAGCAAAAAAACATTTTTAAATTAGCCATCGCCCCCCTAAACTGCTTCTACGCTCCCCAATTTTCTCTGTGCCCTTTACTTTCCCCCCTATAGGCCTCCAACGCCCGCAAGGGGGCGTTATCGCCCACTTTGAGAAAGACTAGGTTAGATGGACTGCATAAGACTTTTGCATATTGTCAATTGCACAAATCAATACAATGCAGAATACAATAGACTGCTGATTGACATTATGCATCCAACTGTCAACTACAAACTGTCTTATAAAGTATTGTTCCAGAGCAGAGAGGATTGGATCCTCCGGGAAATATTAAGAGCAGATAGTTATCCATCTGTGAACGATCAAAAACACCTTCAGATTCTGATGTAGGTGTTTTCAGTCGCAGACCCAGACCCCTGCCTAGGGACCTATGCGACTGTATTTCAAACGAAAATCTTAAGATTCAACAAATTGTCTCTGCTCTGGATTCTTGGCTATACTTGCCTGGAAGGCAATGAGGCTGCTGACTCTCTTGCAAAAGAGAGTGCTGCAAGCAGCTTCATTAGACCAGAACCCGTCATGGCAAGAAGATTTATGGACTTCTGGCAAAATCTTGCAGGATTGGTTCACTCTAAGGCGTTCATTCACCTTTCGAAGCTTGATACCAAACAGTTGTTGGAACACAGTAGGGATAGTAGGGATGAACTACGATGTCTAACAAGTCTTCTCACAGGTCATCGTCATCTGAATCATCATATGCAGAGACTCGGACTGTCAGAAGACAATGTGTGTAGCCTCGGTTTAGAAAATGATGAAACAGCATAGCACATTCTTTATGCCTACTCCTCTGGGGATCGAGTCAGATTTTCAGACCACTCACCATATAAACTAATCGGCTTCGTTAAGAAACTGGGTTTATTTGGTCGAGTGTGAATAGGTGTGAGCCACAATAAACCCTTGCGGGTTGCGATGGAGGGTTGATTAGTCCTACCCACTTTTAACCTAACCTAACATAACAAGTGTTTGAAGTACAAAATGATTACGAAAAAATGATTTTTCATATAATTCGGTGTGCATAAAAAAATTAGTTGTTTCAACAGTACTTTTTCTTTCATGTAATTCAATGTTTATATGGAAGTAGTTTCAAGGGGGCTATTTCTTCCAGTTTGTATCTGAAAGTACCTTCTGTACATGATCTAAAGATCTTTGTATTGAGTTCATTTTGAAATTATTTGCTTTCTTCCCTCTTTTGGAAGTTTTCCTCCTCTATTTTATAAACATGGAGAAGTAGAAATCCAAAATCTTTCTTTCCCAAAACTAATCTCTCCTAATAATATACCCCTTCCAATTCACCCTATAGCCTATCCATAAAAATCCCCTTAATGGGAGAATCAGTCTGAACCCCATCTTCTTTGTCAGGTTCATTAAATACTATGGCAGTTTTTAGCGAATAATTCCTATAGGATCTTCAGAAAAGATAGAACTTTAATCTTTACTCAAATTTGATTTTATTACATAACTTACAGTTGTTTTCTCAACTCAGGAGAGTCCTGATGAGTACCAATCTGATTAACCATCCTTTGCATTGATGAAACTAAAATAAACATTAGAATTGCAAAGGGACTGCAAATTATCATAAAACTCTTACCATTTTGTGATATTTTTTGGATACTGGTTCCAATTGTTTGTGTGAGTTTTTGAAAATCCTGTTCCTTAACCTGTCCCCCATTCTGATAGGAGAGATAATTACTTTCCATTTTTATCCAATTTTCGAGTTTTGTCGAGAATGTATTAGGTATCTTATAAGAATCAACACCTACTTCTAGTTTAAACGCAATTTCTTACAATGAATTAGTAGGTTTACACTAATTAATTTTAACAACAATCGATTTTTCTGAGGAATTGGTGAATCATCTCATTTTCTACTCGTCCTTTAAAAAAATAAAAACAATTCTATGTCACTTTTGGCAGCTGTCTGATATAAATCCTAGAGGGTACGTTCCAAAACTTAATTTTAGCTTAGGGTTCGTTCCAATGATTTCCCCTAGTCCCTAGTAAATGAAACATTACTATCTTATTACACAGGAACAGTGTATTCTAAAACAACACTAAACAACTGACTTCACTCTCCCAAAGAATAGGCAGATATTAGTAACTATACTCTTTGGAATAGCCTTTAATAATCAGTAAATCATTCATCTCTCTAACTTCTTGAAAAATGACATATTGAAAATGTAAATATAGAAATTGAAATTCAGAAAAACAATTAATTTCCTACTAAATAAATATTCTTATAGCTAGAAATATATATTACCTTGAATACCAACTTTTGCGAAAGTTGACATTCCACAATGAACAAGAATTAGATGTAATATCGATTGTCAAATTTGTATAACAAATCATGTCTATTTTTCTAAAAATAAAATATTTCTTGCACACTAAAAGTAAGTTTCTTTCGTCTTTCAGGTATGATATCACCAGGCTATAACAATATAACTTCTGATATACAATAATTGAATGAATTTGTTTATTTCCAAATCAGCTGTCGGTCATTGTGTCATGTATGCGTTGAGGTGAGGTTGAGTGGAAAACAATGCCACCATATCCTTAAATATTTGGAGGGTGCAACATCTTGAGTAATAATCATATGACTTTCGAAAACAAAGATCAACAGGTGACCTTCTATCGTATGTCACCCATACGTGGAATAACGCAATCAAGAAACATGGAGAGTCAAGAGCTGTTGCGCTTGATATTTCTAAGGCCTTTGACCGTATGTGGAGGGTTTGCTGGCCAAACTTCGATGCTATGGCTTGACGAATCATTTCTGTGTGTGGCTCTCCAGCTTCCTGAAAGAACGTTCCCTGCAAGTGGCCGTCGACGGATACCTCTCGAATACTTTTACCATCTACGCTAGTGTTCTCCAGGGATCTATTTTGTCTCCAACCTTCTTTCTATTGTATATCAACGACTTATTGGAAAAAACCAAGAATTCAATATATTGCTTTGCTGCATTTGAATTCCAGGACATATGTGGCGGATGTACATCTTCACCGGCAGCAGGAGGTTGCATATCTGTATGCATATCTATAAAAAACCCAGGTATAGGTCAGGTCAGACAATTCCACCTTATGCTTCGATAAGTTTGTTGAGGGTGTAAATGGACACAATATGTCTTCGCACAATAATGTCGCTGGAATTGCGAAATTCGCTTCTTAAAAGCTTGGAACACTGTTCCGAACCAAAAAACTGTACACATCTTGCTTTATAAAGCTCAGATAACCTACATCTGAATATAGGTAAATGTAAAGTCATGTCATATACTAGAAAACATAGACATATTGAACATCCATACAATATTCAAGGTAGTTTGCTAACCCGTTGTGTGGAGACTAAGGATTTAGGTGTATTTTTTGACTTTAAAATGGCTTCACAAACATAAACGCCTTGAAGATATTTCTCATATGTCAGATCCAAGCTTGAATACTGCTCAATTATTTGGATCCCCTACTATTTCTGTCATGAGTACTCAGTTGAAAAAGTTCAAAGAAAATTTTGGAAATTCGTGTACTTCAAAAACACTGGAATTTATCCAGCTAAGGGTTCTGACCACTATAGTCTTCTCAATCACTTTCAATTGATTTCTTTAGAAAAAAGGAGAAAATGTGCTTCAATAACCTTTTTGCATAAACTACTGAACTTTAGGGTGCCAAGACCTTAGTCACGGCTGAATCTCACATTTTACTGCTCTGCAGCATGTCAAGAATGAACATGATTTGTTAATTTATTTTATCTATTATCAGTACTGATGTATTTGATTATGTCCTGTAATTGGGTGTTACATGTTGGGCAATAAATGATATTATTATTATTATAGTTTCCGACTTCAGCCCACTCGACCTGAGAAAAGCGAACGTCAGGCGCTTTGATAAGCCAAGGTCTTCAATGTTATTGAAGAAGACCCCATGCATTGGCTTATTCCTGTTTTTTTGCAGAAGTAAGGTGATCTCTGCGGCTTTTATCTGAGATTTTTGCTGAACGGGCTCCGACTTGGTGACAGAGTTGTGGTCACCTCGTTCAGAGTCGAAAACTATAGCGAATTCATCAGCTACTCGGGCAGCTGCCTAAAGAGAAATGCTCCAATTCCTGCTCTCTCATGGTCACGGACCACGCAGAGAAGGGGATCCGAACTCCTGACGACTTTACAGGCTGTATCCAGTACCATTCTGTCATGTAGACACTCCAAACTCAAAAGTCCACGACATCCCTGTTGTCGGGGGAAGTACAACCGTGGAACGGACGATTTGGGATGCAAACTCCTATAGAGATGCATCATTTTTTGGGTTTTTACGTCGAGTTGATACAGCTCTTTCCGAGTCCATTTCACTATTCCAAACGAGTAGAGTAAGATTGGAACGGCGAAAAGAGCCAACCGCCTGATTGGAGACGCGAACATCATTTGCAATCTTGATCGAAGAAGGGTTACATATTTGTCTGTCTTCTATAGATACTTTCAAGGAAAGTGTTCAAGTGACTTGACACATTTGATTCTACCAAGAGTTGTACATATCAGAAATACGCGACGGACTGTGGCTGCTCATCGTTTTTAGGTTCAACTCAGTACACCTCGAACCTCACAGTTCAAGAACTCTTCAATTTGGAGAACTGCGTTTATGTGGAATAAACTTCCTGAGAACGTTTTTCCAAATGAATTTAATCTCCAGCTATTCAAATCCAATGAGAATCACTACTTTCGTACAGGCACCACTCTTAGAGCGTCTTAAGGATTTTCCTGTAGTGCTTGTGTATTAGAGTTTATCAATCCTCTGTTTGTTTGTGCCGTTTTGTTTACGTTATACTATGATCACGTTTATATCGCATCTCAACAACCGATGTTACTGAAACTAAAGATAATGCATGTGTAAACACTATTTTTTTTCGAGCGTTTTCAAACCGGTTTAATAACGCCGAACTTTCGAAATTAGGATTACCGTTTGGAAACCGGATTTATTGAATTGTGTATAACTCAGTGACATAAAAGTTCTCTAATATGTCGGAATATCAATGTTCTTTCAAAATGATATAATTGTACGGGATGGGATATCACTGCTAAGATACGCTAATAAAATATTTTTCCAATCAGTAGATCCTGTGAGGTCAAAGGTCGAAGAGAAATTGATGGTCACTATGACCATGCATGTTCAAACTTCACAAAAAAAAACGGAACTGAAGAAAGCAAAATTGCGTGGATGTCAGATATCTGGTGAATGTCAAACATCCGACGATGTTTATAGGATTCAATGCTCCTGTGGCTCTGTTTACATCGGAACTACCGAACTCAGCATCAAGACCAGGATAAAAGACCACAAGCATAGCTGCTGTATCTTGTACTATTTAGGACTTCCATTGAGATTTATAAGCATCCTGACAATTTCAACAGAAAAGCAAAAGATATACAGGCCAACAGAATGTAGTATACATTAGTCAAGAAGGCCAACAATAGACAATACAATATAATTCCATTTCGTGGACATACTATCAAAATATAATTGAATAATGACGCAATCCTGATAACATCAATCATGCTCTACCTCCCCATCACCTATTGTTGGGTACACCTCGTATGCATTTATATGATAGATTGCTTGCTAAAGTGATTGTCGGGCTTCCTAAACATTTTTTGAGGGAATCATATACAGGGTGTTTTTCAAACATGCGGCAAAAAATTTAGGGACTATTCCTTGGACTATTTTAAGGATATTTTGTCCCTTGATGATTTTCAATAGGGTACTTTGTTTTGAAGATAGGGGGCGAAAAAAATGTTTATTATAACAATTTTGGTAATTTTAAAATTATTAACGTAGCCGAAATAAAAATATAGCGTACTACACTGGACCTACCAAGTAATGAAAAATCTAACAATTCATTAGTTTATACCACTTCAGTGGATAATCTGGAAGATTTGAGAATTCCGATAATTGCTGGGTGTAACGCAATCAGAAACGATCCTGATGTTTTTGAAAGAGTTCGGTAATTGATGAGGGGACGATTGGATTCTTGCATCCGAGCGGGGAATAGTCATTTTCAATAGTTCTTATAAACTTTACATGTAATTTCTGGTAATAAATTGTTGTCGAAATTATTTTTCGCTCCGTATCTTCGTAACAAAGCGCCCTATCAAAAATCATCAAAGGACAAAATATATAGTCCAAGTTATAGTCCCTTAAATTTTTGCCGCATGTTTGATAAATACCCTGTATAGAAGTTGCCTCTTGGAGTCCGTTTCAGAACTATCACAGGATGAGCACGATATTAAATCTATTTTGGCTTCAACGAATAGTCCTAGGAAACACATTTTTTCACTGCACACGTAATTATTCTTATAATATTTCACGCATGTTATTCATTGTTATAAGTTATAACTGAATTCTTATTCTTACTAAAAACAGCAGAAGCCAAAAAACAGTCAACAATGACGAAATTACTAAATTTAGTCGAATAAAAGACGAGTCTTGAACTAATGAACGACCTATGGAATTTGTTTGAAAAAAATATGTTTTTCCGTTAATCAGCTGTCGCCCCCATACGAACGACAACTTTCAGAAGTTGTAAAACTTCTGCAACACTGTTGCAGAATCATTCCAGCTTCAACCAGATAAATTATCTCGAGAAAAATATCTGGTCGAGGCGGGAATCGAACTCACGGCCTTCCGATCGTGAGTCGGCGGTCTACCACCGCGGCCAATTCCACAACCATCATCTATTGGTTCATTCAGAATGTTAGCGCGTTTCTTTTGGTTGAAGCATTCCATTAGAAATTTTCTGCTGAAATAAAAAACTCACCTGAAAAAATGCGTGGCGTCATTGGTGGAATACGGTTTTTCCCTTATTTCAAGTACCACCCAATATCAAAAGTCGGTTATAATATATTTCGTAACCCCCCTAGTATGTGGTCTGATGATGTCATTCTGTCAAATGTTTGTTGACATTTGTGGTTTCGATAAAATAAAAAGATTTTAGTTTTGGTAGGTGTGGTTATAAATCTTTCAAAAGTTCAATCAAATTCTCGGTAGAAGGACTAAATTATTGAGTCATAAAAATGGATGGAAGACTACCGGCGTGTGTTATCGATGTAGGAACGGGGTGAGAGAAAAAATCCTAACCAAAATTTGTTTATCATAATGTTTTTCTATTTAGTTACACCAAACTAGGTTTTGCGGCAAACAAGGAGCCACAGTTCATAATTCCTTCTGCTATTGCGATAAAGGAGAGTGCAAAAGTGGGTGAGACAACTTCTAGGAGATTGAATAAAGGCGTTGAAGATCTCGACTTTTTTATTGGAGATGAAGCATTCGATGCCACCGGATATTCAGTTAAGGTGAATATTATTGAGATGTTTTGAATCTACAGTAGAAACATAAATGTCTACCGTTCTAGTATCCAGTGAGACACGGACTTGTTGAAGACTGGGACTTGATGGAAAAGTTTCTGGAGCAGTGTATTTTCAAATACCTCCGTGCTGAACCAGAAGATCACTACTTTTTGCTCACCGAACCTCCTTTGAACACGCCAGAAAATAGAGAATACATTGCTGAAATAATGTTTGAATCTTTCAATGTTCCCGGCTTGTACATAGCAGTTCAAGCTGTTTTAGCTTTGGCTGCGAGTTGGGCTAGCAGAAGTAGAGAGGAAAGAACCCTCACGGGAATTGTAATTGATAGTGGAGATGGTGTAACTCATGTTATTCCTGTTGTAAGTATTCAGAATATAATGTATAATTGGTAAATATTAGAGATGAAATGGATATCTGGTATCCGACCTATCCAGCGGCCTAAATACTAGTTGTTTGCTTTAAAAATGGTATCGCAGCAAATGGGATCCTCTGCTGCAAAAATAGCATACGATGCATTAATCGAATCCCATCTGAGATACGGCTCGCCATTTTGGGGAGTATGCAATAATAATGTCATGCAAGGCATCTTGATTTACACAAAAAAGAGCAATTAGATACATTTCTAAAGCAATGGCACATGATCTATGTAAACGACTTTTTTGTCTTGCATAAGATACATACTGTTGTTGCCATATTCATAGCATTGACAGTTTGTCTTATTGAAAAACATCTAAATAAATTCAATACAGCTAACCGATATCCTACAGGCAAGCAAAACAGTATTAACTTACCCAGACCGATCTCTACTTTAGTGAAGGACTCAATTATTTATAATGGTTGCAAGATGTTCAATCATTTACCTGATTTCATAAGAGAAATTTATGCCTTAGATAATTTTAAAAAGGCTGTTTACTTCTTGCTGTCTAGTCGTCCGTATCATACTTTGGAAGAATTTTGTGCCGACACCTTTTAATTTTTTTTTTTTATTGTTAAGGATTTTAAACTTGATTCTCCTTTATACAAAAGTTCCAGAATTCTTTGTTTTACTTGTTTTTTTGTTTCATATATGTTGAGTGACTGATTGTAGCTTTTAGTATTTAATGTTTTTATTTATATGAGTGCTTTGTCCACAAGAAGTCTATGTTCTTTATGACAAAGTATTTATTGATTGATTGGTTCAATTATGATTTTGTTTATGGCTTGATACTATGATACCCATTTTTTATAGTCTATATTAATGATTTACCACATATTCTGGTGTTAAAACAAAACATTACTATTAATAGAGAAGATTGAAAGAAGCTGCAATACCTCTATTGCAACTTTAACACAAAATGATTTTTTTTATTCTTGGAAAGAGAATCTCTAATAACGCACTGTATAATCCAGACACACACACTAGCATCGAATGTAGATATGTGAGGGTCTTGTGAAATATACATATATGTGTTGTATTTGTAGTAGACTAAAGAGTACAGTATTTTTACAAGAAAAAATTTAGAATTTGTGACTCATTTGCGAATCATTTAAATCTGTAGATGAGACAAATTCATTTATACTTTTGTACATGGTATATTATCATTCAAAAAAGGACTGTTGTAGGTTCATACTAAACCTCATCAAACCTACTAACAAAGATAATTTATATAAGTTTCCTGTACTTATACCGACTTATGGTGCATGCCGTTTTTTTCTTTAGCTCGAATTGTAGACCGTCAACTTCCAGGCATTTTCGAGCTCGTTTTGCAGTATTTTGAATACCACTAGGCTAATTGTTGATGCGTTATACTCTGAGTGGCTTGTTTTACTCGTACTTTTAGGTCCTCGCCGGTTGTTGGGGAAGTTGTGTAGACAATGTTTTTCAAGTGATCCCAAATGAAAAGTATTAAAGGGTTAAGTTGGGTGATCTTACAGGCCACCTGATAGGACAATGTATTCCAATCTATTGCTTCCCAAATCTATCATGAAGGTAGTCTGTCGCTATCCTACTATTATGAGAAAAACAGTCAATTCGCCAGATTAGGTGGTGAATATTCTAAATATCCTTCAATTTCATTTCTGAAAAACCCAGCACCACTCAAAGGTCCATCAAATATTACGGAGCTAATTATTCTTACCCCAACTATTCCTAGCCAGACATTGAATTCAAAACGTTCTTGGAAACTTTCCTGTCAAAATAAATTATTATTTTCTAGCCATCAATATTGGGTATTCTGTCTATCAATTGAACTGCGATTGGTGAATCTTGACTCACCTGAGAATACAATTTCAAAAATTCTTTATTTGGCTGCACATTGTTATGTAGAACCCATCTGCAATTTTTCACCCTTCCTACGCTATCAACATCATTCAGGTGAAGTGAACTTGATATTTGAAAGATCAATACTTGCGTTTTTTTTACAATTTTTCCAACAGTTTCAAGACTGATATCCAACTCAAAAGCCAGCTGCCTAAGAGATACTGTTTTATCGATTTTCAGCCTCATGAGAACATTTATTTCCATTTCCTCAAAAATAATATGTTCATTACTCTCATTATAATCAGGCTCACTTAACTCTTCAAGAAGTTTGACGTAATTTGTAGCAGGACATTGTGCGAGATATCGCTCCGAGTACAACTGGCAACTGCAGCAACTGCATTTTGCTGACATTTCCCATGGATTAATAGCATATCCACCTGCTCGTTTCTGTTATAGACTTGTGACATTTTCAACTTATTTCAGTTTAGAAATATGATTGACAACAATGCATTGGTAACTAACTGACAATAACAGTTCAATGAAATGCCAAAGGTTGTTTGTGTTTCATAGCAACCTTACTAACTTCCTTTCATTGCTAAATTACTTATTAATTTTCGTGGCTCTCTAGATTAAAAAATAAACCCAGCATTTTGGCAATTAAAATATCAACTATGGGGTATCATTGGATAAAAAAAACTATGCAGATTTACGAAATGTAATATTATATAGGATAATTCATTCATGGTTTCTAATTTCGAAAAAATAGCTAACGAAATAAAGATCTAGCAAGGGGTGTACTATAAGTCAAAACTCCGCCCTTCGAGGCGCTTGAAGTAATTTCTATCCCAACATTATCAGGTGGAATATCGTTTTGAGTATAACTGGTGATAAGTAACTGCAATTTGCCAACTTTCCCTATAAACTAACTGCATATCCACTTTCTCATTAATGTTAAAAACAAGTGGCATATTCAAATTATTTCTGTTGGCAATACAATCTCTAACAGTTGTTTTTTGTTTCATAATAACTTCCCCGACGACCCCTGAGACCTAGACAGAGTCTGAAGGGGCAAGTCAGGTAGCCTTGTAGATCATCTGACTTAACCAGGTATTCAACAATGATAGTGTTAATGAACGCTCTGTTCGACGTTGGTTTGTGAAATTTCGTCCCGGAGATTTTAACCTCGAAGATGAGCTCCGAAGTGGTCGACTTACAGTTATACATGACGAGGATTTGAGGACCCTGTTGGAGACTGACCCATCACAAACGGTATGTGGGATGGCGGAAGAACTGGGCGTCAGCTCCCATGCGATTTTTGATGGTATTGAACGTATTAAAATGGACACCAATATGTCTTGGCACAATGATGTTGCTGGAATTGCAAAGGCTGCTTCTCAAAAGCTTGGAACACTGTTCCAAACCAGAAAACTGTACACACCTCAGCAACTTTTAATGCTTTATAAAGCTCAGATCAGACATACTTTGGAGTATTGTTCTCATGTATGAAGCTCTGCTCCCAAACATACCCTGAAATTGCTGGATTCTGCCTGATCGGAGACACGAACATCACTTGCAACCTTGATAGCCTGGAACATCAAAGAAAGGTTGAAGATTTGTCTCTCTTCTATAGATACTTTCACGGGAAGTGTTCAAGTGACTTGGCACATTTGATTCCATCAAGAGCGGTCCATATGAGAAATTCGTGACGAACTGTGGCTGCCCATCGTTTTGAGGTTCAACTCAGTACACCCGAACTTCACTGTTTAAAAACTCTTTCATCTGAAGAAATGCGTTTATGTGGAATAAACTTCTTGAGAACGTTTTTCCAAATGGATTTAATCTCCAGCGATTCAAATCCAATGTAAATCGCTACTTTCGCACAGGCACCTCTCTGGGAGCACCTTAGGGATTTTTCTGTAGTGCTTGTGTTTTGACATAACAAAAAAGGAAAGATCATAAAACTCGAAATGTAGGTGCCCCACGATTTGAACTATCGACAGAAATTGTCACATTTCGAGGTGTGTTCTTCTTTGCTTTTCCGATACAAAACGATAATTTTTAGATCAGATCATCACGTGTGCTGAAAAGTTGATCCTCTACGACAGCAGGAGACGTTAAGGACAATGGTTGGACATCGATGAGCCATTCAGGTACTTTCCAAAGGCGTGGAACCACCAGACCATGGTTATTGTGTGGTGATCAGCTGCTGGTGTGATTCACTATAGCTGCAAGCAGGCTAAACCATCACATCAGACTTCTAATGTGAAAAAATTATGAAAATGTATTGAACAGTGCATCAGCAGCAGCCGGCACTGGTCAACCCAAGAGGTCCGATCCTGCTCCACGACAACGCCCGTCCGCACGTTACACAAATCATCATCCGAAAATTAAAAAAATTGACCGTCGAAGCTCTGCCTCAACCACCATACTTCCCAGACCTCTCGCCATCCGACTACCATCTTCTCAAGCACTTCGATTTTTTTTCTCACTGGCAGAACCATCCTCAATCAGTACCAGACAAAAACAGCCTTCGTTGACTGCATCGAATCCATTGCACCCAATTTTTATACCGAGGGAATTAATCGACTTATGGGAAAGTTTTTGGCTTTCTACTACTCCATCTTGATACAAAAAAATGTGGGAATCTTCCAAAGAAATGAAGGAAGCAATCAATTTTAAAAGTAGTAACACTTTACTTTTTTCTTTTCTTTGGAAGATACCCACATTTTTTTGTATCAAGATGGAGTAGTAGAAAACCAAATACTTTCTTTCCCAAAAATTAATCACTCCTAAAAATATAACCCTTTCAATATAATCAATATGTGTTATGTTGGCAAAAGTGCACTGATTCAAATGGTGCTTATTTTGATTAAATTGAATGAGCATTCATTGAGATATTACAGTTTAAAGTAGACCCATAAAAACGGGCAAAACTTTTGAAACAACATTCATGACTAACTGTCATGATACCTAATATTTACCTAGTTTCTACTGTGATTATTACGTAAACAATGGGCTATTGGAAATCAGTCTCAACAATTGTTGAGTAACACTAGACTTTTGGTCTATTCTCAGAAACTGAATATGTGAAACTTCTTATAGCAAAATATTATATTTCAACTGAGCATACTTTTAAGATTTTTTAGAATATACTATTTATTTATATTAACTGATCGACTGAATAATCTTTTTCAGGCAGAAGGATATGTCATTGGGAGTTGTATAAAGCACATTCCCATAGCTGGTCGCAACATCACCTATTTTATACAGTCACTTCTACGAGAGCGAGAGATAGGTATTCCTCCAGAACAATCCTTAGAGACTGCTAAAGCAATAAAAGAAAAATACTGTTACATTTGTCCTGATATAGCCAAAGAATTTGCCAAGTATGACACGGATCCGGGAAAATGGATGAAGAAATTTGAAGGAATCAATTCTGTAACAAAGCAATTATTTAATGTAGATGTAGGGTATGAGCGGTTCTTAGGGCCCGAGATATTCTTTCATCCTGAGTTTTCGAATCCAGATTTCACAATACCTATCTCCCAAATTGTTGACGATGTTATTCAGAATTGTCCGATTGATGTTCGTAGACCATTATATGACAATATTGTTCTTTCTGGTGGTTCAACCATGTTCAAGGATTTCAGCAGGAGGCTACAGAGAGATATTAAAAGAACTGTTGATGCTAGACTCAAACTTAGTGAAACGCTTGGAGGAGGACGGTTGAAGGTTAGTAAGTTCTTAGGCATACTGAAAATTTTGATCTCACATACATTTTTTTGTTAATTGAAATTTTCAGTTGTGTACAATTTCAATTAGTACAAAACTTTATTCCACTACTGGCTTTGGCAAATGCCTGCCGGAAAACAACTATTTGGCTAGCTAATACCATGATGTACAAGAAGTTGTATATCTTTCCTTTCTGAAAAAAAGTCTTTACATGATAAGAAGTTGTCTTTCTTTCTAATGACACAACATACATTGGATTATATCTGACATTTGTGGAAGTTTACTCGCAGAGGAAATTATTCCAAATTTTTCTCATTCATCCATTAGAAGGACCTCCCTGAAATAATTGTGTGATCACCTGCAGACCGGTTTCTGTGTTATTACAACTCGTCAGTGCAGAACACAGTCTGGATAATTATTTCCCGCTTAGGGCTTTGTTCACAAGATAGAACTGTTACTACTTCACTGTCGTTAAAACAAATCCCATCTCAGAAGAAGGTTTCGTATATGTGGTGTAGCATCATTGAAATCAGGCGAGAACCAGATATCACTGCCTTCTGTCCTGCATCGATGAGGAGTATTAGTCGCAAAAAGCTAAACAATTTATTGATTTCAGTGAAGTCCTGCTGCTGGATGACAAGAAGCATCTGTATGTCCATTGTGATATGGGATAGAAAAATTATTGTTTTCTGGCAGACCGAGCCTTATAAGAACGTTGGAAAGAGTTACTGTTTCCAATTTCAGTTCCAAATATTTATTTTTTTAGTATGTATGTATGTATCTTTCCCACTCATCAGATTGATTCGATTTCTGAACACGGTAATATCAATGTTAAATATGAAGTTGAAATTACGATGCATAGAATGAAAATTCTGTAAAATTTTGGATAGGCCCCACCCTCCGATTTTGAAAAAAAATTTGGGTCTACTTACGTCTTTTAACGTGTAGATTATGAATCTGAAAGAGAAAATCGGTGCTCTCCATTTTTTTCAGAGTTACATTCCTCCAAAGTTCAGAAAATTGCAATTTTTCTGCCTTTTTTTGCGCAGAAGTGTTTTGCACAGAAGTGTTCATTCACCACATTACCTCCACATTTTATTTCACCTCCTTTGACACGTTCCAGTTCAATAATCAACAGTTTTCCTTCAAAAACTTTATCAATATAATGGAGCTGCTTTTTGGTGATGAATTTCCTCATTTTATGTTTTTGAGGTTAACGTCACAGTTGGCATCAATGATCACGATCAACATTTCAAATTCAAATAGTGTTTTGTCTTCATTTGTGAGATCTTTTTAATGTGGGTACGCTAATCTGAACACCACCAAATTTATTTAAACAATCGAACGCACGTGACAGATCGAAGAATACTCCTGCAACATGCTTACCCCTATCTAAAGAAGCGTATATGATTTCTAAGAATCTCCAAGTAGCTGATTGTGTTTTAAAAAAGATTTTAGGAAATTGGCTGATAGTTTAGTTTTGTCCATGATTCATTTATGGATGACGCAGGATGTCGGAACTGCAAGAGAATGGCAGAAATATATTATGTAGGTTTTGCCATCAAATACTTTCAAACATATTGAAGCACTAAAAATATACTCGGTTATCTTTTCAAACGGGAGAAGAGATCCAATGCTTTTTGTCAGCTATTTAGTTCGGATCAAAGAAATGCACCTTATTTATAACTGTAGCGCTCAAAATTCTCCTTAAATTATTTTTTTTTCAAATCAAACAATGAACATAATTTTTAAAAAACAACTCGTCACCTCGTAGATTGATTACTAATTAATTGGACAATTGCCGCTAACCTTTAACAAGTGGAAAAGTGAGTGATGCAATCACACATTTATAATGGGTGCCACATGATTTTCAATTGTCCAAAAAAAGTTCTCAAAAGTACATCAAGTGGTATATGATATTGAAAAATAAAAGTTTATATTCTCACATCTAATAGCAAAATCTCAAATATTATAGTTAGCAGCGATCAATCATCATTTATTATTGATGGCTTTCATCTTTCTACCGAAGCTTAAGCGCAGGGGGAGGTATGAGGTAAAGTTGAAAATTCTATTAAAGAGGAAATATCCGCTTTCCATAGAATAAAAAAATAAATAAAAAAAACGTATCGCATAAATAAAAAATTAATAACAATAAAAAAAATCCCGCTTATCACTAGTAGGTACTTGCACTCCAGTAATACCAGTAATAGCATACTATATAGCTTGTTGAAATAATATTGTTGGGTTTACTGATTATTACAAAAACACACATTGTAAATATATTTAGATAGGCAATATTGTGAAACTAATTTTATATAGCTGAAAATTGTTCTATATATAGCTGTAACATTTAAACATACATATGGTGCCTGTGGTTTCCTAAATACCAAACTTGCCAATCACGTCAAAAATTTGTATATTCGGCCAGTAAAACCAAATCAGGCTAGGCAGATCAGGTCAGGGTTTTCTAATTAGTTGACGAGTTTTAAACCCAACCATAAAACCCTTCAAAAAGAATATAATTCGCTAATATTTCATTAAATAATAACATGAATTATTGAATTTATCTCACAGTCAAAATTTCTGATTGTGTACGTGAATTTATTTTATTAATTTCATAACATATCATTGTCAAACTTCAATTAGATATTTCATCCTGTGCTATTACACTAACTAACTAAAAAACACTTTTATTTATATTATCCCCCAGTATATCTTAGACATTTGGTAAATGAAAACTGAACACAAAAATATCAATCAGTATCAAAAATGAAATCAGCCACCCCATATTTTATTATCATTTATTTCCCGAAGTCTCCCTCAAAAGAGTAAAATAAAATCATATCACCATATGACATGACCCCAAAATTGATACTCCCTGTATAAAGTGAAAAATTAAAAACAATAAATATCACACCACCATCGAATTATTTTATTTTCAAATAATTGTAGTACGAAATAGTTATTTCCTTTGACATATTTTGTAAAGATTATTATTACTTTTATATTCTCCAAAAAATAGTTTAGACCCCCAGTATATAAAAATGTGCTTCATGACATCATTTAGAATTAAAGGCAATAAAGTAATTAAAAAAAAATGTTTCTAGATAGTCAGGTTTCACAAAACAATTTAATCAACTGTACTACTCCATCCTGAGAACTAAAAGAAAACGAAGTCCGCTGTAGTATTTGAAAAAGATCATGTTAAAAACATAATTATTTCAATTTTGAAGCTCCATCCTCTATAAGTATGATTTATTTCTGAACTTGGCAATAGAAGGAAATATATTGCATTTTACAGATCAATAAAATTTTTGCAAATATCACGAATTGAATTTATACTAATTTCCAAGTAAAATAAAGGAAATTATAGCTAATCAATAAAGTCAAATAAAGTCATTCCTACCTTCAGAAAACGGTTTTCTGCCGGTAAATCCCCATGTTTGCTCCCTGGACTGGTAAAATCCTCTGAAATCGTGAAACATCGCCTAAGGGACGTAAATTCTAGAATTGCTCAAAAAACAGTTCGAATAAAAACTGGATATGAAATTAAAAAAAAACCCTTTCGTACTATCCACAGGAACGTCGTTTCTCCTTTAAAAACACCATTTACCTTTAGCGATAGATGTGACTTGAAACTGCATAAGAAAAAGATAATTGCGTGAATTCTTGAACATCAAAAAAATATCTGACACAACTCACCGATTCAGGCCCCTTGAAACCCCATTAAAGGACGTGATTAAACTCTAATAGATTCTCAAGAAACAATAGAAGGTATTGTAATGACTACTTAACTTTCGAAAATGCTGATCCCCTCTCTAGGGTAGTAATTCATTTATTCATTTATCCTGAATATATACAGACAGAGTCCAATTACATATACACAGTACCTAAACTACACTAAACCTAACACATATATAGATAAAAAGATACAATTGACAATAAAATTATTATAAATATAAAATCCCTATAATGAAATATATGAAATCATTGCTACTTGAAATTCAATATTATTACCAATATAATCACTAATGAGGATTAAATTTGTAATAGTTGATTTTTTTGGTACAAAACCATGTTGTTCGTTAATTATGACTGGAGACACATGATGATATATCCGATTATATAAAACTTTTTCAAAGATTTTTGATGGCGATGGCAGAACTGTAATGGGCCTATAGTTACAAACTAAACTAGTGTTTCCTGATTTATGTATGGGTGTTATGTGACCAATTTTAAATTTGTCTGGGAATATCTTGTTTCTTATTGAGGCGTTGAATATTTTCTGTAGTGGTATTAAAAGACTGTCAGTATAGGCTTTAAAGAAATAAGCAGGAATACCATCAACACCTATAGCAGACCTAGGCTTCAATGTTTTAATGGCTTCGGCTATTTCAGACTGAGTAATATTTGAAATGTTCAAATGATCTAAGTCATAACTCTGGTAATGCAGATCAGTTGGTGGTGGGGCAGTATTAGTGTAAACAGACTTGAAGTAATCAGCAAATGCATTAGCGATATCGACTTCATTATCAAAATACTGATTTTCATAAGAAAATCTGTAGGCAATATTAGGGTTTTGTCGCTTATTTTTTATGTGGTTCCAGAAATTATTCGGATTATTATTGATGTCTTCTTCAATATTTGATAGGTAGTTAGAGTAATTTTCTTTTATAGCCAATTTAACATCTTTTCTCAACTCTTGGTATCTAAGTAAATAAGAAGAATTTTTTTTCGATTTTTTGAAATATTTGCTTTTTAATTTTATTTTCTCAATCAAATCTCTTGTATACCAGACCGGATATTTGTTGTTATCGAGTTTTTTCTTGACATGTACGCATTGATCAAGAATGTCATATAGAATTTTATAAAACTGATCTACACACAGGTTAGGATTGTCTGCGGAAGTAATTTGAGACCAATCACAATTGCTCAATAATGGATATAACTTTATATAGTCTCCCTTTTTAAAATTATAATTGTGAAGATTTTGATCCTTACCATTACTATTAAAAACAGGCTTAACAGTTAAATTAAAATATATTTCTAATGGGGGATGGTAATTATCCACGCTTACGAGGGGTGTCTGTGATTTTGTCACCTTTGCTTCTGTTACATTCGTCAATACCAGATCTAATGTGTTATTCGTGTAATTTAAAATGTCATTCAAAGAGTACAAATCATACCGGCTGACTATATCATGAATAATTTTAGCTTTGGTTGATCCCTGATTAAGTGAATAATGCCAATTACTTAACCACTTTCGAAAATTGGGCCCAATGTGATTCTTTCAAATACTAGGTACAAAATGGTTTCTTTCCTCTCTTCACTTCCAAGAAACTATAAGAAGAAACATCGGTAATGAACATCAGTAATCGATTTCAAAAATCGTTATTAGACAGTTCCTGCAACAGCTGGCAGAAAATAGTTGAGGAATTATTGTCCAGACGGCAATAGCAAAAAATCAATGTATTTCTATAACAATTGTACATCTTCCGTTATTGAAAGTTTTATATAACAACTTATTACTAACGGTAATAATAACCGTGAAAAGTAGAATAAAACCAGCAAGGAAACGCCCTCTTAATGTAGGAAACCTTCACCTTGATTGCCTACGAATACCTATTCTCGACAGGGAATATGGACTGCATTCATTCATTTCTGTTTCTCCGTACTGCTAATTCCTAGGAAGCTAAAATTTGGTATATAGGTGCTTCATAGGTCTTAGATGCGCACTAAGAAAGGATTTTCAAATATTCCAACTGGGGCGCCCCCCGTGGGGGTAAAAGTAGCGCGTTTATATATGAAAATTACCTTTTCATCACTGTTTCTCCGTACCGCTATATTATCGGAGGCTGAAATTTTGTATTTAGGTTCGTTTTATGTTGTGGATGTGCAATAAGGAAAGATTTTTGAATATTCCAACTGGGGCGCTAGCCGCGGCGTAAAAAAGCGCGTTCATAAAATAAAGTTACCTTTTCATCACTGTTTCTCCATATTTATTTATTTATTTATTATTTGTTCAATTACAATGAAGTAAAATGCCCAGATGAGCGTAGAACATGTCAGTGTAATAAATATACAGTTAAATTACCCTTAAATTTCCGGTGGGTGAATTTATATTTAGTATCAGCATTGCACCCGTGCGACGCCAGGGCGGCTCTGTAGTTGATAATATACACATAATCAGGATCAAATCGAGTTGAGTTAGTACATGAATTGAACTATACGATTTTGATTCACAAAAAACTAAAAATAAAATGTGTTACATAACTGCTATTAAACAATAAGAAAATCTGTACAATTATTGGTTAGATGAAATTTTGCCAAAGGAAGAACATATTTTAGTAGGTGTAATTTACATGAAGAATGAAAATTAAAGCTTGCTATGTTTTTTTACTATTTGTATTTCAAATTAAAATTCAAAATATACTTTATTGTCCCAAGAATAAATTATTATTGACAAAGCCTTGTGAGAAATGTGAATAACATATAAATGAAATCACAAAAGGTAAGTGATAACATGAACTGAAAAGAGACGTGCAAATAACAATAACTTAAAAAAACGGTTAGGATATAAGAACATGGTTAATAAAATGAAATAAATCAATTTAAATTGAATCAAATCAATAAAATACATAGATTACAGTTAGTCATAATCAATTAAAATTATCATTGTAGAATTCTGCTAAGCTATAATAAGGTCTCACAGAAAGCAAGTCTTTCAACCCTTTCTTAAGAGCGCTAAGGTCATTTATGGTTCTTATAACTTGAGGAAGGTGATTGAGCATTTTGAGACCGCTGTAAATAATGGAATGTTTAACTAGGGTCGAAGAAGGCAGCAGTAAATTGAAGCTGAATCTTTGCCTGGTTTGATACATTGGCTTGTCCAAGTTGTTAAACAAGTTTCTATTTTCACAGAGAAAGCAGATCGTTTCATATATAAATAAGGAGACCACAGTCAGAATTCTGTTAGAGACGAAAAGTGGCCGACAAGACTCCCTAGGCTTGGCTTTACATATGCATTGTATTGCACGTTTTTGTATCAGTAATACTGATTGAAGGCATGTTGTAGAATACACAATCCAAAAGCAAATGCCATATCAAAGATGGGATTCAAAAAGGGAATGATAAACCATTCTAGCTACGTGAGATCTGAGCTTTAATGCAGTTACTTGTATGGCATAACATCCAGAGGAGAGCTTGGATTTTGAACTATTTACATGTTTGTTGAATTTTAAATTATTGTCAATGAACATGCCAAGGAATTTGGAAGTTGTTATGTTGTCAATTTGAATATTATTCAGATGTACAGCTGGAATCTGGCAACGATAGGACACTACTTTTGTTTTTGATAAATTCAAGCTCAAGATATTTGAGTCAAACTAGTCTTTCACTTTCGTGGTGTCAATCTCAATAACTTCATACAACGTATGGTTATTAGGGGCATGCCATAAAATTGTGGTATTTGTAACTAATGTTACTGCAGTTTCGTCCTACAAAGACATTTTGAAACGAATACAATAAACTGAAATAAATAATAATGTGCAACCACAGTAGGTAATAACAGACGGTCCTTAACGACTTTATTACCTGAATTTTGTTAACCTGTGACAATGTGGGTACGCTAATCTGAACACCACCAAATTTATGAATATTTGAATGGGAATCTGAGAAAAAGATAATTAATGGGAAAGAAAGTTTTTGGCTTTCTACTACTCCATCTTGATACAAAAAACAAAGATGAGGGAATCTTCCAAGGAAAGGAAGGAAGTAATCAATTTTAAAATAAGTAACTCTATACATGGATGTGTAGATCATGCAAAGAAGTAACTTTCAGACACAAACTGAAAGAAAGTCCTCCTGAAACAGCTACTTTCATATAAACATTGAATTACACGAAAGAAAAATTTTTTCTTTCGTGTAATTCAAGAAAACAGTCCCCCAACTGAATACTGAACATTTTGTCGCGTTAACCTTTTCAGTCCACAACTAACTCACTGATTTTGGACGATTAGAAACAGTAAAACTGAGAACCAGAACAAACCTTATACATACATTGTCACATGATTACAAGTCATGTCTTTTGTCTACATAGCTTTGATACCTTGAGTTGTGGCTTCCCTCCTTCGCCGAGAATGCCGAGAATCCTGCTGACACAAGATAGCAACGCCGCGGTTGTTGGTTGTGTTTTAGTTACTGTTATGTGTTCTACAGTGTGATTCGCCGCGACAATATTATTTATTTCGGTTGAAGTAAGGAGCAATTTAATTCTCTTTTCACTCCAAGTCGGAGCAACAATACATTTCACCAACTGCATCAAAGAATGCAAATTGAAATATGATACTTTGCTGTACAGATGTCACAAAAAGAGAAAAGGCAAAATCATCATTTGCAATTTCACACAAACTGCTTGAAAAACCCCTTTTTTGGAATGTAACAATGCATTACAAAAATGTTGAAAAAGAATTTGCACAGCTAACCAGTATGAGGATCAACAAAATTCATACTGCGATTTACCGTGAGGTGTTAATAACCATCTGTACCCAACCGACTGCAGGCCTTCCATCAATTGAAACTGGAATCATACAAATTTTTTGGTAACTCGCTTTATACCACCAAAAAGCCATTGTCCCTCTACTACTCTTTTCCAAGCGAACCTAAAATGAATGTAATATTATTAATCTTTATTTTCCCAAGAAACTATTACAGGTTATGTCAGGAAAATACAATCTATAGTGACTTAAACTAATCAAGAAAAGAAACTTACACGCACACATATTTTTCAAAATCGGAGGGTGAAGCCTATTCGAAATTTTACCGAAAATTTTATCCCAAATAAAATTTTCAATATGTTAACACTTGAGCAATAGTTTTGAATAAATCGACTATAACGAATATTTAATGTCACGATCAAGTATTGTGATGAATTAGATATTTACTAATTTATATATCCAATGGCAGAATGTTTCTAGATAGGAAAATCTAAATTACTAGGTGTTATATATATTTCACCTAGGGCCCATTTGCTTGTATTCCTTTTCCGTTTTTTGGCAGACAACAAAATTTGTTATTCTCCATATTTATCAACAATTGAAGGAAAAGGATTTTCTGTAGTCATATTTGAAATCATCCCTGAACTTTTTTTTTGAATTTTTAGCCCAAACCTATTGATGTACAAGTTGTGTCACATCATATGCAGCGGTATGCCGTCTGGTTTGGTGGTAGTATGTTGGCTTCTACAGTAAGTTTTCAATTTATCCGTAATTCATATTCTAATCCAATCTTATTGCAGCCTGAGTTTTATACAGTGTGCCACACGAAGGAAGATTATGAAGAATATGGACCTAGTATCTGTAGGCATAATCCAGTATTTGGAACAATGACGTAACTCGTTCCTTTTCCTTTTTTTTACCTAATATAGATTGAAAAACTGTCTCCAAGATATACTGTTGAATATAAGCTTTAATTTATCTGAATATTTGAGATCATTTCAATCCCATTATAAAACATGTTTTTCATGGGAACTATGTTACCAAAGCCACTGTCTAGACATCTTCTTGAATCGATAAATACAATATGATAAACAAATATAATATAATTCCAGTTATAACAACTTTCACTATGACGGTGATTGAATATTTTGAATGTAGGATGAAATATGTTTAGGTAAACAGTAAAAAGTACTCAGTGGCGGTTTAAAACATTTTTTTTTATAATAATATAAGAGCATTTATTAATATAGGAATCCTAATATATATAATACTGTTATAACAATCGCATTTTGAAAATACAAGCAAAAGTATAACAAGAATAATAAAAATAAATAAAATCAGAGGATGGAGCGTACAACTCCCGATAGACCAATGAACTGAAAAGCTGATATAAATGTGAAAGATATGTTAAACTCAAACATATTTTTCTTTCAGTTTTTCGGTTTTTAAAAATTAAAATGGAGTCACTACATTTAATATCATTGGGAAGTTTATTGTAGTCCAAGAGACCCTTGTGGAAAAGAGAATTCATTGTCATGGTATATTTTGTTCGAGTAACATATAAGTTATTATTCCCTCGTGTAGGGTAATCATGGATTTCATTTTGATAAGTTATGAACTGGTTGAAATAGGTAGGAAATTTTCCAGTAATAATTTTGAAAATAAATATCATGGAAAAATAGGAAAGCCTTTCTTTTACAGATAGCCAATCAAGAACCTGAAGCATGTTCATTATAGGGGTGTATCTATTACATTTTAGGAGTATACGCATACATCTATTTTGTAGTTTTTGCAAAGAGGATATAGAGTTTGCATCAAAAAGGTTGAGAAGTGTTGCCGCCAGTAGGGTATTTAAATTTTGCCGCCCCTTCTGACCTCTGCATTTCGATACCCTACATGGACAAAAGACGTTGGACGAAAACATTTTAGAATTAAAAGACTAAAAAATTATTTTGTTTATAAAAAAAATCATATCTTATGAAAAATTAAGAACTGATTACATTCTAAACCTGTCCAGTAAATTTTTTAAACTAATTCTAAACCAGTTTAGTAAATTTTCTGAGCTTCTGAATAATGTTTCTAAACAATTGTTATACTCCAATTATTAAACTATATAAGAATACTTGTACTAATTTTTGATAAATGATTGACAAATTATGTATACAACCCACTAAACACTTTTAATTAGAAATTGCAAGACGCAATTATCCGAAGTGACTTTTGTTTTGACAAAAATTATATAAGGGACGGGACTTCCAAGTTTGTATCGCCGCTTTATATCTTGCTCCCGAACTCAGTGCTGCCACACGTAACGTGACATTCGGCTCCCTCGGCGACACAACCGCCCCCCGCGCTTTCGTTTTGGCCAGACACTCTTAGTGAATCATCGTCATTCGTTCCCGCACCGCATTCCAAATAAGACTACCAACACAAATACGTAGTATAAAATAAGTATTAGTAGATTGACAAACTTCAAATTCCCCACTTTGACAGGTTCAGTTAAGTGGTGAAATCTAATGATATTTAGGTATTTATTTATTTTTCATTTCTGTAAAACAAAACAAAATTTTGACACAAATTTGCCGCCCCCTAAAATCCGCCGCCGTAGGCTTAAGCCTACTCAGCCTGCTGGTAAATCCACCACTGAAAGTACTACTAAATTGCTTGATAGGTAGAATTAGAACCTCCGACATAAAATGAATCTGATGAAAACAGTTTTCCAACATTAGAACTAGAGAAATTTATCTCAAAGTGGGCTTCACTAACCAAGTTAGTAACTTTATAACTACAAAAAAACAAATAACCAAAATAGAGGGGCCGTTTTGGATAATTAATTTTTAATGAAATGTGTGTAGGGAAAATGAATTGCAAACAATTGCTGAAGATTATAATTAGTGTTTTTACAATCTTGAAACATTGTTTGCTTGTTACAATAATTAACAGTTACAAAACTAGTGTATTGAAAAGAACGATGTGATTTTTGTTTTTTTTTAATGAACCGTTACAACTAAATTGTAGTTTTTGTACCATTGAACCATTTTTCGGTCAAATAGTAATTTCAGTCAAATAATTAAGTTCTGGGCGAGTCATTTGAATGACGCAGAAAAAAATTCGCTTACACTTCAATATTTTTGAAAATCAATGTTGATGATGATTGTTCCTTGAATGATATCTTTTTTCTTTGATTCTTCAAATGAAACTCATCATATTTTGCATAAAGAATTATTTCGTGATAATTTTGTTTGTCCTCATCAAAAACCCTTTTATTCACATCAAAATACTACTGAAATAATAGAATTTGTTTCTAGAGAAACGCATCAGAAATTCTAGCGAAAGCTGAATTGTGTGACCCTTGCAATTGGATATATTTGTAAGGTGAAAGCCAGATAATATTGAAAACTATTGTTTATTGGCCAAAAGTTGATATTGATAATGAAAATGTGGTGCCGAGGATGTTTTTACATAAAAGTATAAACAAGACAGGATAACAACATGAATCTATTATAATCTATCCAAATTCGTGTGTCTGTAAATGGTAAGAGATTAGTTAAATTATGGTAAAGTGGCCTATTGATCGTTCTGTGGAAAACTGACGGAATAACTATTGTTTTGGCAAATGATAATCGATGAAATGCTGATCTCTTTCAGAGGCAGGTGTAGGTTCATTCAGTATAACCAAAAAAAACCGACAAAATACGGACTGAAAGTATTCATTCATTCATTAATTTTTTAGTTTGTTGTGCTCACCAGCAAGATGAACCAAAAAAAACAAGCCACATCACTCGTTGTTTGATTCAACCTTGGAAAAAATATTTGACCTGTGATAATTGGTACACAACTTATCCATTAACCAAAGAACTTTTGAAAGATAAAGTAACAATTTTTGGTACCCTTATAATTCATACCGGCTTCCAAAAAGATATGACCATTGTGAAGAACAAAGAAGAACAGACCTGTAATCTTGCTTTCTACCATGCACAACGATTCGGCAGCATTCTTGGAACTAATAATACAGAAATCATTATGGATTATAATTGTTATAAAAGAGTTGATACTGTGGATAAAATGTGTGGCACATTCTCCGTTTACAGACAAACTAGAAGATCAGTATTTTTTCAGTTTTTGATTAAAGCAGGAATAAAAAGTCAAATTTTGTATAATTTCACACATTTGAGAGAATTATCTGAATCGAAGACATCACTGACAGGCAAATATTTTTAGGTAAATAGAAACCTGAAGATCAAGAGAATGAAGAACCATCAACTAAAATAAGAGGGGGACGTTTCTACTGTGGAATAAAGACAATAATTTCATGTCATGGGTTCATTTCTGGTTAGTCCACAGTATCAAATTTGATGTGCTACCAGCAATTTATATCACAGGCTCTCTAGATGTCTGTGTAAGTTGATTCTCTTCGCGCAGACTTCTGGAAAGCGTTAAATAGGGTTCCACCTAGTTTATTACTTGATGAATTGGGTGCACTCGGTATCACTGGTAACATGCTCAAATGGTGAATTGGTTATTTAATTGGTCGTTTTCAGTCAGTTCACATACAGAACTTCTGAAACTATACTTGTAAAATCAGAAATATCACAGGAATCACATTGTGGACCACTCCTGTTCTACCAATTTATCAATGATATTAACTCTAATGTTCATAATTCATATCTATTCTCTTTGTCAATGATTTAAAAAATTTCAATATAGTGAAATGTCCAGAAGATGCACGTCTTCTCCAAAAGAACCTGAATGAATTCATTAGTTCGGACTTTCATTGTATAATATATATTGATTTGAAATCCCCGAAAGAATCTGTAAAAAATTAAAAAGATTAGCTGAAAAAACAATTATATTAGTCTAAAAAACTGAAATTACAAGGAAATAAAATATCGAGACCTTTGTACAACAGTACCCGAAAACATGGTCTATCATCAAGACTCTAGTAGACTGTGTGGTCGGGTTCTGTAATACAAAGGAATGTCTCGAGAAGGAACTAGGCATCATCAAAAATGACCTTCAACGGAATGGTTACTCCAAAGTGATGGTGGAATATACTTCAGCTAGAAGACAGCAAGAGCCTCACAAGGAAGAGAAGCCGCTACAACCAGTACTTGTACTTTCCTACATCAGAGGATTGTCGGAAAGGATAAGAAAAATTGGGTCCACGTGTAACATCAGAACCTGCTTCAGATCTGGGAACACTATCCGTAGCAGCCTCACGAAAACCAGGCCACCAAAAACGCGGACTGCGATTCCAAGAATTGCATTTACCAGATACCTTGCGAGTGCGGAGAATCATACATCGGTGAAATTGAGAGGCCATTGAAACTTCGCATTGCCGAGCACAAGAAATACACACAGCGAGGAGAAACCGGCAAATCAGGAATAGCAGAGCATGTTTGGACTCATCAACATAACATCAAGTGGGCTCAACTTATCCAACAACGCATTTAGCCAAGCTAGGGTAGAGATACGCAACATATGGAAACCTCTAATCAAGCGGAACATGACCGACTCCCGCCAAACGATCAGCTACCGCTAAAACCGTTGAAGCGGAGAGAGAGAAGAGGGGATAGGTGAAAGCACTCGAATGACCTATAATTAGTCAGATCTCGGAGGAATAAGTCCAGAGCTCCGGGGGTCGACTCAATAACCAACAATTTGTTGAAGAGGCTCCCGGACAACTGCGTTGAATGCCTTTTGCAAATCATAAACAGTTCGCTGACCCTCAGACACTCCCCCAGAAGGTGGAAGCATGCGATCGTCGTCATAATCCCAAAACAGGGTCAGAACCCGCTGTTCCCACAGAACTATCGCCCGATCAGTCTACTCTCGTCGGCGGCTAAGCGGGCTGAAAGAGTTGTTCTCCAAAGGCTCAACGAAGAAGTTGAGGACCGAAATATTCTGCCTGATGAACAATTTGGTTTCAGGAGAGAACACTCCACTGAGTTACAGGCTCTAAGGCTGGTCGAAAACACCATCCA